TGTGTTAGTGTAAGTATGGTTATGTATGTGTGTTAGTGTATGTATGGTTATGTATGTGTGTTAGTGTAAGTATGGTTATGTATGTGTGTTAGTGTATGTATGGTTATGTATGTGTGTTAGAGTATGTATGGTTATGCATGTGTGTTAGTGTATGTATGGTTATGTATGTGTGTTAGTGTATGTATGGTTATGTATGTGTGTTAGTGTATGTATGGTTATGTATGTGTGTTAGTGTATGTATGGTTATGCATGTGTGTTAGTGTTTGTATGGTTATGTATGTGTGTTAGTGTGTGTTATGTATGTATGTATGTGTGTGTTAGTGTATGTATGGTTATGCATGTTTGTTGAGTGTATGTATGGTTATGTATGTGTGTTAGTGTATGTATGGTTGGTTATGTATGTGTGTTAGTGTATGTATGGTTATGTATGTGTGTTAGTGTATGTTTTTGGTTATGTATGTGTGTTAGTGTATGTATGGTTATGTATGTGTGTTAGTGTATGTATGGTTATGCATGTGTGTTGAGTGTATGTATGGTTATGTATGTGTGTTAGTGTATGTATGGTTATGTATGTGTGTTGAGTGTATGTATGGTTATGTATGTGTGTTAGTGTATGTATGGTTATGTATGTGTGTTAGTGTATGTATGGTTATGTATGTGTGTTAGTGTATGTATGGTTATGTATGTGTGTTAGTGTATGTATGGTTATGTATGTATGTTAGTGTATGTATGGTTGTGCATGTGTGTTGAGTGTATGTATGGTTATGTATGTGTGTTGAGTGTATGTATGGTTGTGCATGTGAGTTCATGTATGTATGGTTATGTACGCAGAGCATACATGTGCATAATGAGTGATAGTGCATGTATGTAGGTGTGTATGTATTTATGAGTATGTACTGGTATGAGGGAGAGAAAGGAGACAAACTGGTATGAAAGGATTATTGAGAGAAGATAAAGAAAGATGAGAGTGAGAGACGAAGGGAAAAAGATAAAGAAGAGAAAAACTAGTATGAAAGAACTAATAATTGAAGAGAAAGAAAAAAAATATATATATATATATAAGAGAGAGAGAGAGAGAGAGAGAGAGAAAGAGAGAGAGAGAGAGAGAGAGAGAGAGAGAGAGATGAGATGAGAAAAGAAAGGACGAGGAAGGTCGAAGAGATGGACAGAAATCAAACATGAGAGGGGAGAGTTAAAGAAAGAGAAAAACAAGACAGAGAGACAGATACAGAGACTGACTGACAGACAAAGAACAGACAGACAGATAAAGAACTTCCAGATGGATATGGTCATGTTTCCGAAACATCCAGTCATGCCCTTGTCTCTGGAGCCCTGTTTGATAACACATTCATGGCTTGCCCATCTCAGCCAACAGCGAAAACTTAGTGGTTCTCAGCGGGAAATCCGCAGAACACATTAAAAGGATTCGATGGTGCTTTATTAATATCCTACCCAAAACAGGGGACATAAACAGGTCAGTCTAATATTTCAAGGGGTGGTAGATAGGCTGCATGCAGTCGTGGGACCTAGGCTGCATGCAGTCGTGGGACCTAGGCTGAACTCTCTCGTGAGACTATGTGGGTTGGTTTTAGGGCCAGCTTTAGATGTTTTGGGGTCGTTACAAGGATCAGTAAGCCGGGCAACTCAGTCTTACCACCCTCTAAAATGTTGGACTGTCATGTGACGTCATCTGGGTGTAGGATATCAATAAAGAACCTATTGGCTTTTATCCATTTGCCCCTGAGTAGGTTACAGAGTCCATGGGGAGAAAACAAGAATAAACCCACTGCCTTTCCCACAAGCATGTCGTAAAGATTCACTAAATATGGACTTCCTTTGAAGTCGGAGTACATCTACCTGAGAGGCAAGGAACCAGATGTCTGCAAACAATTAAGTCAGTTCTGTAAAAGGGATGTGCACGCAACACTCGGGTTTTGGAACAGGTCTAGAGTTCAGTAGTGGACGAACAACCAAAACTTTCCGCCAGGGTTTAGAGCCGGTGAAAGAAGAAGAAGAAGAAGAAGAAGAAGAAGAAGAAGAAGAAGAAGAAGAAGAAGAAGAAGAAGAAGAAGAAGAAGAAGAAGAAGAAGAAGAAGAAGAAGAAGAAGAAGAAGAAGAAGAAGAAGAAGAAGAAGAAGAAGAAGAAGAAGAAGAAGAAAAAGAAGAAAAAGAAGAAGAAGAAGAAGAAGAAGAAGAAGAAGAAGAAGAAGAAGAAGAAGAAGAAGAAGAAGAAGAAGAAGAAGAAGAAGAAGAAGAAGAAGTAATAAAGATTTTCTCTGGGTTTTATTTTATACATGACTGTTAACTAGTCAAACAACTTCTCGAAGTTTGGTAGGTGTGGTCTTACATAAGAATTCTCCGGACAGCAAAAAGAGCGACCCAGATGTTGTTAAAGAGCCCAAAGACAACTCATCATGCTTGTGAGAAAGAGGCCACCTCATTTTTTAATCATATTATGAGAAGAAAGAAAATGGAATATGTTGTGACCACTGGAAAGATCTGAAGGGGGTAAAAAGATATTCCCAGTCCGTTGCCACTTTAAGCTGATGAAAAAAATTGGATCAGTGGCAGACAACGAAAGGAAGAAATGTCCGCGAGTGTTATCAACTTGGGAACCATTGCTTTGAGTGATAACGTTATCCGAAAATTCCCCGGATTATAATTAAATGTGATACCTCATCAGTAAAAATATACTATTTACAATACGAGCCACAACAGTACGACAGTCAGATGTAAGGGAAGTTTCTCTTAAAGGGTATGTTGTGTATGCTAGACTTTTGTTAACAGATGGTGTTTCGGTTAACGATATCTTCATTCGTTAGCAGTTTATCTGTACAATATGACAAAGAAGTGAATTACATGCTTTGATAGTTGATTATTATTTATGTAGTTTTTATCTGTCATATTATCGCTCCTCTCATTTTTATCAACTTTGTATGTACTGTTGTTGTTGTTTCTATTGTTGTTGGTGTTGATATTGTTGTTGCTTCTGTTTTATGGTGTTAATACTGTTGTTGGTGATGTTGCTATTATTATTGGTGGTGTTGATATTAGTGGTGCTGATATTGTTGTCGTCGGTATTGTTGTTAGTGTTGTTGTTGGTGTCGTTGTTGGTGTTAGTTTTGCTCTTCATTCTATTGTTGTTGATGTTGATATTGGTGTTGTTGTTGCTGTTGTTTCTATTGTTGTTGATGTTGTTATTGTTGGTGTTGATATTAGTGTTGATGTTGTTTGTTTTGCTGTTGTTTCTATTGTTGTTGGTGTTGATATTGGTGTTGTTGATGTTGTTGATGCTGCTGTGTTAATGGTTTTGCTATTGTCGTTGTTAGCTGATATTGTTGTGGTTAGTATTGTTGTTGTTTTTATTGGTGTTGGTATTGGTTTTGTTTCGTTGTTGTTGTTGCTGTGTAGTTAATGTTGATATTTCTGTTGTTGGTTTTGATATTGTTGTTGGTGTTGATGGTGGTGGTGTTGTTGTTGTTATTAGTGTTGCTGTTGTTGTTTCTATTATTGTTGGTGTCGATACTAGTGCTGTTGCTGTGTTAATATTGTTGTTGTTGTTAGTGTTCCTGTTGTGTTCTATTGTTATTGGTGTTGATATTGGTGTTGTTATTGTTTTTGTTGTTGTTGATGGTGATGGTGGTGTTATTATTAGTGGTGTTGTTGTTGTTTCTATTATTTTGTATGTCGATACTGGTGCTGTTGTTGTTTGTGTTATTATTGTTGTTGTTAGTGGTGTTGTTTTTAGTGTTCCTGTTGTGTTCTATTGTTGTTGGTGTTGATATTGGTGTTGATATTGTTGGTGTTGTTCTTAATGTTGTTGTCGTTTGTAGTGGTACTGATAAGGGCGTTGCTGTTGTTGGTATTCATATTGTAAATGTTGGTTTTGTTACTGTTGTTGTTGCTGCTGTTGTTGTTGTTGTTGCTGGTGGTGGTGTTGATGTTGGTGTTATTGTTGTTGCAGTTGTAGCTGTTGGTGTTGTTAGACACGTGTTAATGCTGGTCTTGTGGTTGTTGTTTGTGGTGTTGGAGGCAAATTTATAGTGTTTTTAGTGTTGTTGTTTATGTTGATGTTGTAGATTTGATATTGTTGTTGTTGGTGGTGGTGCTGATATTGTAGTTCGTGGTGTTGTCGGTATTGATGTTGTTGCTGTTAGTGGCGGCGTTGTTAATGTTGGTTCATGGTTGTTTTTGTTAGTGTTGATATTGTTGTTGGTTATGTTATTATTTTTGTTCATTTTGGCGGTACTGGTTTTATTACTGTTGTTGAGCTTATAGTTGTTACTGTTGTTGATCTTGTTATTGTTGATCTTTTTGCTATTTTGTTGTTATTGATCTTTTTGCTATTGTTATTGATCTTGTAGTTATTGATCTTGTAGTTGTTGATCTTGTTGTTATGGTTGTTGATTTTATTATTATTATTGTTGATCTTGTTGTTTTTGTTGTTCTTGTTTATCTCTCTGTTGTTGTTGCTGTTATTGATCTTGGTGTTATTGTTGTTGTTAATCTTGTTGTTTTTGTTGATCTTGGTGTTATTGTTGTTGTTGTTGATCTTGTTGTTGCTGGTAGCGGTGTTGATGTTGTTGGTGTTGGAGGTGGTGTCGGTTGTGGTGGTTAGCTTTTCTGCTGAGAGAGATCGAGCCAGTTGAGATAAACTTCCATGCAATGAAGTGGATTTTATCGACTGTAACTCCAAGTTCGATTGTTACGTCTACCGGGAAGGCTAACCCGGTCAACAAATGCCCTCAGAAGTCGGATGTGCTGTCCGAAAGGTGCAAATATCGCAGCCATGCTGTAAATGGACACAAGGCAATTACATCTTCGGATGAACGCAGAAGAAGAAAAAGAAGAAATGTTACGTCTGTACTTTCTATTTGGACATCAAATAATTTAGAATTTATCTTTTACAATTCTCAGTGGAAATTTCAAACGTCTGCTGCCATGACGACACAAGCAATATTTTACCAACTGTTCGCTTCTCCATTTTGTAAGCAGCAGAAATGAAACGGATTTGTCGCGCTTCAAGTCATCGGCCAGCCATTATTCTGATAATTGCTTTGACTCTGGTCTTCGTCGCCATCTTGAGTTTTCGGAAACCTTCCATCAAGGTAGAGACTACAACACATTACAGTGGAGTTATTAAGGTATGTTTTTTGTTTTGTTTTTAGGCCGCGCAAAGTCAGATCAATTAGAATTACACTCCCCTCCCCCTCACACAATGCTTCCTGCGCCAACCCCCCCCCCCCCCCATCTCTTTTTTTCCACACGCTACATCGTTATGTACACAGATAAATCTGTAGTGAGAGGTTAGCAGACTTGGTAGGATTTTATTGCCAAGTCGAATGGATGTTTATAGACGAATGATGAGAATACCCTGGACAGATCAGAAGAGTAATGAGGATGACTTTAAAATAAAATTGACTCACAAAGAGAACTTCTTCTTCATCTTCTTTTTCTTCTTCTTCTTCTTCTTCTTCTTCTTCTTCTTCTTCTTCTTCTTCTTCTTCTTCTTCTTCTTCTTCTTCTTCTTCTTCTTCTTCTTCTTCTTCTTCTTCTTCTTCTTCTTCTTCTTCTTCTTCTTCTTCTTCTTCTTCTTCTTCTTCTTCTTCTTCATCTTCGATCCTTCTGTCATAAAACTTACAATAGGAGGCCTGTAGCCTTTATGAAAGCTATCGTGCAATCCATATCCTCTCGTGTACCATACAGTTTTGTCTTCAGTGTGGTTGGGACAGGCCAGATTGCCTCTCCGTTGTCAGCAATGACTAAGAGAACTGATTGTCGACATTAGAACGAGACAATCTACATTCTTTGGTCATGTGATGAGAAGGAGAAAAGTGGAGTACATCGTGACAGCAGGAAAGTTAGAAGGGAGGAGAGGCAGAGGGAGACCGATAGAGCAGATGCTGGACAATTTGACATCATGGCATGGAGGAACATGTGTGTCAGATGTCAGAGTTGATTTTGAATCACACGAGATAGAAGCATGAAACATGACTACCAACGCCACACGGACTTTAAGAAAAAGAAGAATCGATGTTTGAAAACAGACAATCTGGGGTATAACGTCACAACTTTTGATATGCGAATGGAGGTCGAGGCAGTAACGTCAGCTTTTCGATGGCTCAAGAGCAGCACAGCCTGACATATTGTAATTGTAACAGACTCACAGAGCATGGGAAATGGCGTTCTATCCGTAGAGTGACTTGCATCACTTGATTAGACTCAGATCAGAAGGGTATTGTGAATTTTATGTCCAGATACTCGGGTGTATGAGGTAATGATACCAGTGAGCGTTTGGACGGTGGACTAGTTTATGATAAGGCAGACGTGATGAAGGCCCTCTGAGATCAAATGGACGGTGAACACAACAGACAGAGTAACCACACCTTAAAGGACTAAATCCGGAGTGATGGGTTGGGAGGGGGTCAGTCTTCTTCTACTTCTTCTTTACGACCTCTTTTACCGCTTCGGGTGTCAAAGGAGATATAAGATCCCCATTCGCGCTGGGATTTACCACACGGTTCTTTCTGTGGTCTGCCCCGTCTCTCTCCCAGTGCAACCTCCGCTGCCTGGCAAGCGGATGCGCCATGTTTGAAGATTATACGCCATCCTCATAGATCTAATGCAAATTCTCTCATGTTTCTGTCTGGATGCCAAATGATTGGACAGATGTTTTAGAAGTAACCTGCAGCGTTTTTCTGTCCATCTGGGGATCTTTTCCTCTGCTGGCGTTCACCCTAAAATATTCTCGTTGAAGCCAGTGGTATGGTATGCGGGTCAGGTGACCAGCCCAGCAGATCCACTAGGCAACTAGGACTTTTTTTGCATGATCATCAAATCATCAATTCTCTTTATGCCTAGTGGCACATGAGGCTTCAGAGAGGACTTTCCATGCTTTCCTGTCCTGTGAAACTTCAGTGCAGTTTTCCGTGTCAGAGATGCCGCACTCAGGTCACTTTCCATCGTTCGTCTCCATGTTGTTTTTGGGCGCCCCTGTTTTCTCTTTCCCTGTGGTATCCATGTGAGAGCTGTTTTGGCAGGTATATCAGGACTCATTCTCATAACGTGGCCAAGCCATTTGCATATTCTGTTGTTGTTGCCTGTCAACCCATTATTGGCTCCTGAGAAAGGAGACGGAGCATGTCTGGGAATATTCCGAGTGCAGTCAGATCATTTCTAGATTGATCTATTGACTGAATCATTATTCTTTTAATCGAGGTAATTATTCCATGTAATCATATCTGCCCACTTCCTTCTGTCCCGTGCACTGTCTGTCGTATAGACAGACTGCCGCTTTTACTTCCACGGTTATTTCGATGTATCCATTGTTTTATTTTTATTTGTTGCTGTTATTCTTCTTCTTTCTTCTTTGCGTTCACCAGATGTAAACTCTTTTTGGAAAGTTCTGGTTGTTCGTCCACTTCTGGACGGAAGTCCTGTTCCAGAACTTAAATGTTGCATGTGCATCCTTTTGACAGATCTGACTCATTTGTGTACAGACTGTTGGTTCCTTGCTTCTCAGGCAGATGCACTCCGACTTCAAAGAAAGCTCTCAATTAGTCGACTCTAACGACATGCTTTTGGGTAGGCAGTGGGTCTTTTCTTGTTTTTCCCTTTAACAGTGCCCCAGAACCTACACGGAGAGTTGCTGTTATTGTAAGTTTCCATTTAAAAATGGCTCAGATCAGTTTAAGGATCCATTTGATAGACTATTGGTTCAGTGTATTGGTTTTGTGAGTGTCCGCATTGTTCAAAACGATAATCTTCTTTCTTTCCTCTTTCGTTTTACTGTTTCTGCTGCAAAGCGTCGCAGAGAGAAGGTTTGTGTAGTTTTCTGTCTTTTACTGGTTGCATAGCTTGTATTATATACAAGGAAAACTAAGATCATGACAAACAGTCCAAACCAACAACCAGTGACCATAAGTAACCAATCACTTGAAAATGTAGAACATTTCACATATCTTGGCAGTGTGGTGTCCCTACTGGGAGGGACAGAGGAAGACACACAGTCACGCCTGAACAAAGCTAGAGCTGCTTTTGGAAGGATGAGGCAAATCTGGAAATCCAACAGTTACTGCAGGGGAACGAAACTCCTGACTCTACAAGAGATCTTTTTACCAATTGTTTTTTATGGAGCAGAATGCTGGAAATTGACAAAAAAAGATGCACACGTAGAATTATCACAATTTTCTGGCTAAATACAATGTCAAACACTAAACTAATTCAAGTCACAAACCAAGAAACTTTAGACAGTATGATAACCAAGAGAATATGGAAATGGCTTGGCCACGTTATGAGAATGAATCTTGATATACCTGCCAAAACAGCTCTTGCCAGAAGGAAAGAGAAAAAAGGGGTGTCCAAAAAAAACATGGAGACGAACGATGGAGAGGGACCTGAGTGCGGCATCTCTGACATGGAAAACTTCACTGAAGATTGCACAGGACAGGAAAGCATGGAAAGTCCTCTCTGAAGCCTCATGTGCCACTAGGCATTAAGAGAACTGACATGACATCATCATCATCAGGTGCCTTGCCGTCTGGCGTGGGCGATCATGCCTCTCCATAATCCACGATCTCCTGCAGGATGTATCAGTTCGTGTGCCGACACACCTCCATGCCACGCAACAAGACTGTCAAGAATCTTCTCTCGTTGTCTTCCTCTATCCCTCCTTCCACAGATCTTTCCAGTGGTCACAGCATGTTCTATTTTCCCTCTTCTCATAACATGGCCGAAAACTGATAACTGTCTCCTTCTGATGTCTATGATAAGTTGTCTTCGGGCTCCCGCCTCTTTCAAAACCTCTTGACTGCTCTTTTTGGCTGTCCAAGGTATTCTAAGCATTTTTCTGTAAAACCACATCTCTGAAGCCTCAAGAAATTGCTTGGCCTACGTACCGATTGTCCAGGATTCATGACATGACATAGCTTGTGTTTATGTTATGTCTCGTTTCTGTAGCATCTCTTTTACTCCCTCCATCCATATCTTTCTTGGTCAGCCTCTTGCCTTGTGACCTGCTGTCCCCACGAAGTACGCTTTAGCCGCTGGCTGATTTTGTTCAATTCTTACCAGTGACCAAACCATTTGATTATTTGATGTTGTTTTAGGAATTCATTCGTCAGTGCTGTGTCAACTTGTTATTAGTTCTTCATGCAGCAAATTCATCGAAAAAAAGGGAGATCACTTGGTATGGGTATTTAGCAAGAATACAGCCAGAACAACTAACAACGCATGATCTACACGTGAAAAGATATAAAGGAAAAACAAGAGGAGAAGAGGAACTGATGACATTAGTCGATAAGAGATTCGCTTTCAAATCCAGCTGGGACTCGCTGCAGCCCATGGTCGGTGTTCGAAACCGGGCGGTTCCCGGGGTTCACCCAACCTCTAGGAAATGGATACCAGAGTTGACACTCTGGGGGTAAATGGAGGAACGTCGCTGTAGCTACAGAGTTACGTGCGGTCAGCGACACAGGCGGACAATTATTTTCAGCTGTCTGTACTGGTGGCAGAGCACTTTTGGTTTTTAACCGTGTGCAATGACGCTGGTTCACATCTCGCACTTTATCTTTACTTTTACCGAATGACCTTACCTCTCCCAGCAAAGACTGTGGATCTGGCCCAGGGGATCCACATTGCGAGAGAAGCTATGTGGAACCGGTGGTGACCTTAAACGCACAATCCTATTAGTGACCCAGACGGGACTCGGTGTGTAGCATGACTGATGTCGAACGCAGAAGAAGAAGAAGAAGAAACAGAATGACAGTAGCCATCGCTGCCCATCAAGCAGTAGATCGCAACAAATTGTTTATTACAATTATTATTATTATTATTATTATTATTATTATTATTATTATTATTATTATTATTATGTACTTACACAACTGCCATGGAGAAGGAAATATATGTTAATGAGGAAAGATTGGAAGTGGTGGAAAATTTCGAATATCTTGGGTCACTGGTTACCAACAATGGTGACACAATGAAAGAAATTAAACGGCGACTATCGATTGCTCTTCAAAGACTAAAACAACTGAATAAATTATGGAATTGTACAGATAGAATTACAAAGGTCAGATTTTTAAGAGCATGCATCTTTCCCATTGCAACATACGCCTGTGAGACCTCGACACTTACTAAACAAGCGGAACAGCGCATAAATGCATTTGAATATAAATGTTACAGACAGGTTCTAAGAATATCTTGGGTAAAGAAAAGAACAAATGCATCCATACTTCAAGAGCTGAATATTGAAGAGGGTTGGCTAGTAAAGACAATAAAACAAAGAAAATTTAAATATTTTGGTCACTTGAAACGTCATGGAAGTCTAGAGAGAACAATAATGGAGGAGTATATGCCTGGGAAGAGAGGAAGAGGAAGGCCAAGGAGAAGATGGGTGCAGGATGTGGCAGATGATCTCCAGATGGGTGTATCAGACGCAGGACATCTTGCTCAGGATAGGAAGGTTTTCCGGAGGGTTGTTATGGCAGCGAGGTTCCGCGAGGGACATGCTACTGAATGAATGAATGTACTTACACAAGGTGTAAATTCCACGAGGACATTGTTACCTAGAGAATAGGCTTGCTACTCTCCTAATCTCAGCTTAAAAAAATTTTACTCAGGTATCCTCACCTGCACAGTCGTGGCGACAGCACTAGCCATGCAGCCGTAAAACCTCCCGCTTAAAGACCCTCTTGCAAAAGTGGTATAGTAAAGGCAGGAATTGGTAGTTTTTCATATTAGCAGCCTGAAATGTGCTGTTTTTGTTTGCGAGTTATAATAATTCCACAGAACTATGATGGGATCAGACATATCCAGCGTACAGAACCTGTGGCAGTTGTAGAAAACCCAAAGGCAGTTCCCAGGGAAAGCGCCTCGGATGTTATCTGTGTCGCTACACCATCGGTAAAGTAAAGTGTATATATCTTTCTTCTTCTTTTTATGTTTTTTTTTTTATGAGGAGAGTGTCCCTGTGGGGATTAACCAGGAAATCTGGTCGAGGATCAACACTCAAGGGAAAGGCGAGACGGATGTACAGTCAGATAGTAACTGGTGCCATCGGAATTAGAACTCTTCGCATGCTGTTGAAGGTTTGGACGGAGCGCTAATGGGATCGTCCCGAATGCTGTGTTGTCGATTCTTAATTCAACATTCAACATTCATCTTTGTATTTTTCTACTTCGCATTCACTAATTGCAAACTCTGGTAGAAAGTTCTGTTTGTTTCGTCCACTTCTGTTACTTTAAGAGACACTTTGTGGTGAGTACCGAATGCTGTGTTGTCGATTCTTAATTCAACATTCAACATTCATCTTTGTATTTTTCTACTTCGCATTCACTATTTGCAAACTCTGGTAGAAAGTTCTGTTTGTTTCGTCCACTTCTGTTACTTTAAGAGACACTTTGTGGTGAGTACTGACACCCTTATAAGACACTTTGTGGTGAGTACCGGCACCCTTTTAAGACACTCTGTGGTGAGTACCGGCACCCTTTTAAGACACTTTGTGGTGAGTACCGACACCCTTTTAAGACATCTTGTGGTGAGTACCGACACCCTTTTAAGACATCTTGTGGTGAGTACCGGCACCCTTTTAAGACATCTTGTGGTGAGTACTGACACCCTTTTAAGACATCTTGTCGTGAGTACGGCACCCTTTTAAGACATCTTGTGGTGAGTACCGACACCCTTTTAAGACACTCTGTGGTGAGTACCGGCACCCTTTTAAGACACTTTGTGGTGAGTACCGACACCCTTTTAAGACATCTTGTGGTGAGTACCGACACCCTTTTAAGACATCTTGTGGTGAGTACCGGCACCCTTTTAAGACATCTTGTGGTGAGTACTGACACCCTTTTAAGACATCTTGTGGTGAGTACCGGCACCCTTTTAAGACACTCTGTGGTGAGTACCGGCACCCTTTTAAGATATCTTGTGGTGAGTACTGACACCCTTTTAAGACACTCTGTGGTGAGTACCGGCACCCTTTTAAGACATCTTGTGGTGAGTACCGACACCCTTTTAAGACATCTTGTGGTGAGTACCGGCACCCTTTTAAGACATCTTGTGGGGAGTACTGACACCCTTTTAAGACATCTTGTGGTGAGTACCGGGACCCTTTTAAGATATCTTGTGGTGAGTACCGGCACCCTTTTAAGACACTTTTTGGTGAGTACTGGCACCCTTTTAAGACACTCTGTGGTGAGTACCGACACCCTTTCAAGTCACTTTGCGGTGAGTACCGGCACCTTAATTTTTCTAGGAAGGGAAAACAGCTCTGACTTTACTTGTCCCGTCCCATCTCAAATTCAGTCCATCACTGCTGAACCCACCCAAGTCTAGAATTTATCAAGTGCCAGTAGTGCTAACGTCTAGAAGTTGAATACACTCACCTCAATGTCATAATGACGCTTTAAAGGGGCTGGTTTTATGATTATTATTATTACTTCCTGGGAAGTAAAAGCGGCCGACGAAATGCTGACATCGCCCAAGGAGTGCCAACTGGTCTAGAGACTATAGGTCTAGCCCTATATGCCCACTACGCCTAAAGAGGGTCATCATCATGTAGCAGGTCCTTTGCAGAACGTCACTCTCAACAAAGTCTGTCTGAAAGAAACTCGGTCTCTCGCCAGTTCTCCCGCCTTATGAACTTTCACACTCAAGGAGTCACTTATATCCTGTGCCCATCTTCGTGTCGGTCGGCCCCTGCCCCTCCTTCCTGGTACCATGCCTTCTGCTATAATTTTTTCCAGTCCGTCGTGGCGCTTAATATGACCAAAATATTTCAGCTTCCGAGACAGGATGCTGTTTATTAGCCAATCTTCCTTGATGTCCAGATCTTTTAAGATGTCAATATTTCTCCTTTTCCTTGTCCAAGATATTCTGAGAATCTTTCTATAATGAAAGAGGGTACGTTACCTATTATTATTATTGACTTTAATAAGCCCTCTCCTTTAGGTAAGTAATAACACAAGAATATTTTAACCAATCAAATCTTCCTCGTGCATTCAGCCCGATACCAGCAGGTACCCGACAATGGCGGCCGAGAGACAACATCAAGTCTTCGACCCGGAGAAAGTTCTCAAGTTATTCTCTTCTTGCCGGGCGGAGGACGATCTTATCTTTATAGACTGTTATGTCGATGCTTATGAAGAGTTGTGCAAGTAAGCTATGATGTTTTGTTTCACGCATGAACGCTTCTGTAGCTTGTGTTGACTATTTTAGGTCAGGTCTAGTGATCTAGTTCAGTTGATAGTTGCTAAGTTGCCGTGTTTATACTTCAAGTACTACTTGACGTAGTTTATAGTTTGTGTAACTCACTAACATTTAAACTTGTTACGTAATTGTTTTCATTAGTAACTGTAACATATTAAAGAATAACAGATGATCATCCTTGATGCCCAGCAGAGACATTAGCAATGATACTATGACTGTTCAAAATAATATTATATTCCAGATACAAGATTAGTCAGGCTGCCCAAGATTATATTGGGCTCTCCTCCGAACTTCTACCCCGGCGAAACAAATAAGCTAACAGGGCCTCAGTCCTATGAAAAATGCGCGACTTCCTGCGACGAACAAATCGCGGCAAAACTACGATTACTTGACAATTTTAAGAGACGCAACGCTGCAGACGATAGTAGCAGACGATAATAGCCACCGCTGACAATGTCGAGACATTACAGAAGAAAAAAGCGACATGGTGGGAATACTACGCGCTCTGACGCAGATTAGCGATACTGTTCTTCCGATCGAGGATTTAGCAGCGGTAGATGTGAGACCTGTCGATTTGCATTGAGTAATGACCGATAAACTAGTCTGGTTGCAATGGCTAGCTACCTACAGGCTAATACGCAACTCGCAGGTATGTTTTTCCTGCCAGGGTGCTATATCGTTGGCAGCGCGGCAGGTGGCCTCTGACAGATACTGGTGGTGCTGTTGTCGCTGTAGTAATGAGTGCAGTCTGCTCACTGACTCGTTCTTTGCCAGCTGCAACATCTCAACTGGGAACATAGTCATAACGATGTTTTACTGGCTCTTGGATTAAACTCACCGCTGTCAGTATCCCCCGTGCCACTATGCGCGGCCCAGATGGGGGGTGGGGGGGGGGGCTAAACTAGATGCCTGGGACTCAGAAGCAAATAAATTGGATGAAGTTGCAGAGATGCGGTAGCAGCTGCTCGTGAGTCCCAGCTATCTAGTTTAGCCATCCATCTGCACTGCTACATGCGGGGATACCGTCGGGGGTGAGGCATAGTCATAGAAACAGGTCTGCAATTAACATATTGCTTAGACCCTGTTAGAGCATTTGTTTGGTTATTTATCGGATCCTAGTTTTGCCGCGATTTGTTCCTCGGCAAGAAGTCCAACAAGTCTGCATTTTTCAGGACTAAGGCCCTGTTAGGGTATTTGTTTGGGTGCCATATTGCCGGGGTAGAAGTTCAGAGGAGAGCCGATTATTGTTAGTATTCAGTTTGGCTTAAAATGAGTAATTGGAGTATTCTTCAAGAGGATCGACTTCATATTTTATCTCATATAGCTGGGTCTTTCTCAAGCCACCTACCAAGAGCATCACACAGTGCACTCATGAACTGAATGGCGCAGAAGCGAACCCACGACCTTCAGAACGTGAGGCAAATAGCTTGACCACTTCATCCCCTTAGTAGTAATTAGGATTCCCTGTCTGTTGTCTGAACATAAGATCATCTTAAAGATCTACAAATATATATTACATGTTGGGCTATCCTCCAAATAACAGTCCCAGATTATTGAGGCTAAGAAAATACCCTAACATGGCCTCAGTCATATGTAAATTGCGGACCTCTTTTCGACTTGAGATAGTCCACGACTCACATTCATAAGTTAATATAGAAGATGCATGACCTCAGAATTTGTTTAGTTCAACGTTAGTTTTCTCAAACAAACTAGGTCACGTTCCATTGATAACTTTGTTGGACTTGTCTACTTTCTGGGGGGTTACGGGTGTGCCACTCTGTTGTTTGCTTTCTGGGATGTCTTGCATTTACATTTTTTTTTTCAGAGAAAGAGAATTCCTGTGACATAGGTTGCAGCACTCTTGGGAGAAGGGGGGGGGGGGGGTGTTAGACCCAGTTTGTCCATGTTTTTGTTGTGTTAAAAGTGCTGGTGTGCTGAAATATACAACATGAAATATCAACAGCATTTCGGAACACACCCCTAGCAGTGTGTGAAGGTCACGCGGCTCAGGAACTACCAATCAGAAGTGAGCTAGTGTGTATATAGGCGGGGTCTGGGGAGACTAACGTGGAACTAACCTAAAATGTGTAACTTGTTTGCAGAAGCTGTGCCATAGTTTATTCAAGCTATTTAAACGTTTAGCTTCTGCATTACTAAAGCAAGTCTGTTTCTAACATCTTTTGTGCAGTTGTCATTACTGAGCTGCATTAGGACAGTCAATAGGAGACTCGATTTTTAAATCCAGCTGCGACTTGCTGCAGCCCGTGGCCGGTGTTTAAAACCGGGCGTTTCCCAGGGTTCACCCAGCCTCTAGGTAATAGGTACCAGAGCTAATACTCTGGGGTAAATGGAGGAATGTTGCTGTAGCTAAGGAGTTACGTGCAGACGTCGACGCAGGAAGACAGTTTCTTATCAGCTGTCTGTACTGTTGGCAGAGCACTTATGGTTTATAACCGTATGCAGTGACACGGTTCACATCTCCTGACTTTACCATTTTTTTAAAACCTTTTTACTGAGCCATCAGCACTTATGGCCACAAAATGTTAATGAGATAAATTTACAAAATAGTAACTAGAAAGTTTAAGCTTCAGCTCTTCACGAAACAAATATCTAAGCCTAGATTTCGGATGGAGTTAAATGGACAACAAACCTGGAACTTTAAAAGATATTTGAGATTTGGAACATGGAATGCCCTTAAACATCTGATTAAAAAAAAAAGGGTCTGTCTCACAACACCATGATCACAATATATAATATATAAAACGTTGATAAGACCAGTTTGGGAAGTATCTTTACATTCAATGGTAAAATAGACAGAGAGATCGAAGCAAGAATCCAACAAGCCAACAATGTCGCATACCAGCTTGCACCAATTTTAAAACACCCTGCTGTCCCAGCTGAGATAAAAAGACAAATTATAAATACAATCTTTATACCGACATTAGGTTATCAATGTCAGACTTGGACATTAACAAAAGAACATGAGAGAAGACTAACCACCTGTGAAATGAGATGTTTGGGAATGGCTGCGAATAAAACCAGAAGAGATCGAGTGAGAAACGATGTGATTACAAGAACTATTGGAACCATACCCATCGTTAAATTTATTGAGAAGCAAACAATGAAATGGTTTGATCACCTAATGAGAATGGAACCAACGATGCCAGCATCAAGAGCATACAACATGAAAATCGAAACACCAAGAGGCAAGGGAAGACCAAGAAGAAGATGGATTAAAGGAGTCACGGACAACTTGAGACTTCAAAACATCACGGCATATGAAGCGGCTGAGCGCGCCCTGGCTCGGTTGCCGATCTTCTGATAGACTGCGACGCCTAGCGGCACAAGCAGATTTTGACAAAAGAAAGAAGAAGAAGAAGATAAGACCAGTCATTTTATAAAGCTCTGAAACTTGGAGCACAGATAAAAGATATGAAGCCCTATTACAGGTTTTTGAAAAAACAGAGTCTTACGATGAAAAACTATACACAAGGGAGATAAATGGTCGTAGACCACGAGGCAGACCAAGAAGACGATAAAAAGATAATGTCTAGACAGACCTGCAAACACTTGGTGTCCCCAATTGGAAAGAGAAGGCCAACCAGAGAGATGAAGAGAGGTGGGTGATATCTGCAGCAATGAACCTCAAGGGCTCAGAATGCTGAAGAAGAAGAAGAACTAGAAAGATATCTACCTAAGTAAGGTCACAGAGTCCCCAGAAGTGATGCATTACAGTACAAATCATGTATTTTTTTTGCATTATGTACAATCTTCTTCTTCGATCCTTCTGTCAGAAAACTTATATCAGGAGGCCGGTAGCCTTTATGAAAGCTATCGTGCAATCCATATCCTCTCGTGTACCATACAGTTTTGTCTTCAGTGTGGTTGGAACAGGCCAGATTGCCTCTCTGTTGTCAGCATACAGTTGACAGTGTTGGAGCACATGCTCAGCATTTTCGGGTGCCACGCTGCAGGGATACGTCTCCGTATTTCCTACACCGAAAAATTTGAACATATGTTGACGAAATCTGTTGTGCCCTGTCCTTAGTCTGAATATAATAGACTGTCCCTCTCTAGAAAAGCGATGAAGTGAGTCTTGGGGAGAAAATCTGGTGTGGGTATCCAGCCACCTTTCTTGGATACTAGATTGTATTAGTGTTTTCATCTCTTGGTGGGTTAAGTCGCTATTTGGTTGTACCATGTCACTGCCGCTTTTGGCCAATCTGTCCGCTATTTCATTGCCTTTTATGTACAGTGATTCTACATACATACCTAGGGTGAATTTGTGGGCTTTATGTAAATATTTGAGAACTGTTTTCCCCTGTGTTTTCCCCTGTGTGAGGTCCTGAACCCCATTATGGGAAAACAAGAATAAATCCATTGCCAACAAGCATGTCATAAGAGTTGACTAATGGCTTCCTTGGAAGTCGCAATGTATCTGCCTGAAAAGCAAGGAACTAACAGTCTGCATACAAATAAGGCAGATCTGTAAAATGGATGCCCACACAACACTGAAATTCTGGAACAAAACAAAAGTCCAGAAGTGGACGAACAAATAGAACCTTCTGCCAGAGTTTATTTTGGTGAATGCAAAAAATATAATTTATATGTGTGTGTATGTTTTGAAAGAGGCGGGAGCCCAAAGACAACTTATCACAGACATCAAAAGGAGTCATCATTTTTTGACCATGTTTTAAGAAGAGGGAAAATGGAACATGTGACCACTGGAAAAATCTGTGGAAGGAGGAATAAAGGAAGACAATGAAAGAAGATTCTTGACAGTCTTGTTGCATGGCATGGAGATGTGTCGGCACACAAACTGATACATGCTGCAGGAGATTGCGGATTGTGGAGAGGCATGATCGCCCACGCCAGTTGGCAAGGCACCTGATGATGATGATAGTGGGAGAAAAAGAGGGGGGGGGGGGGAATAAAAATAGTTTTAAGGAACATAAATTCAACCTCCGGCTGTTTCAACTTATTAGTAGAAACGGAACTCAGTCATAGATCGAGGAGACCCTGTATTATATTTGAAAACATCACGAAATGTGTCATGCGTTGATTGTCACTGAAGGAGTTTATAAGTTTGAATTTTCTCTTTCCAGGCTGTTCAGATTATTTGGCACAATCTTCACCTTCGTTACTTCGGACGTCGAGCAGAAGATCTGCATCCTTCGAGAATACAACAAGGGAGATGACTCTCAAGAATATAAAACGGTTCAGTCCATGCTGCAGTTTGAGGTCCTTCATGAACTCACAGACAACAAGAAGAAAGCTTCTGGGGCTCGAACTCTCCTGCGACTCCACCGGGCCATGGAGTTTATCTCTGCGTTCCTCGAGAAACTGAAAGAAACCAATAGCACAGTGAAGTTCTCCTCGGCCACCAGCGAAGCTTACGACACAACTCTAGCGAGACACCACCCGTGGCTGATCAGAAAGGCAGTGCATGTAGCATTGTACATGCTGCCGGCTCGCCAGGACCTGCTCAAGAAAATGGGAGTGGATGACGACCAAAAAGGCATGCAAGGAATTAGCGACTTGATATCAGAACTGGTTATAATATTTAATGTGATAGAAAAATTGTATGCCAAAGATGAATTACTGAATCTGCCGTGAAGATATTATGTCGGTCTTTGCTTACCTTCCTCAACTAGTAACAGTAATTATTCATCCATTTTGTTACTTGCTCACTCATTCTTTCACTCACTCACTCATCTACTCATTTATTTATTCACAGTTTCTGCCATATACTTTGAAAGTTTAGTTACCTTAGATATTTTACCATAATTATATATTTTTTATATTTTCTGATTTGGAGAGAACAAACTAACAGTAAACATCTACAAGACCCCATCAGCAAACTCAATAGAAATCAACATATAACAATTTTCCGTCTACGAACAGTACACTGCAGGCTCAACTACCACATGCATAGAACAAAGACTACAGTCTCCACAGTGTGCTTGTCAAATAGGACCACAAACACCTGAGCATATTCTGCAGACCTGCCCTATCTACCTACAGTTTCGAAGAGAAACCTGACCTCAAGAACAAAGTGTGCAGAGCAAGCTATGGGGAACCAGGAAGGACCTGCAGCTGACATGCGAGTTTATAGAGGCAACCCAGCTGATGGTCTGATCCGAGCATACGAAACCGAACGCAAAGAAGAACACCAATAAAGTCAAAATGGGTGAACAACCAGGACTTTCCACTGAAGAAGAAGAAGCATGAACATGCATTTTACAGATCTAGCGAATTTATGTGCAGACTGTTGGTTCCTTCTCTCTCAGGCGGATGCTGATGCGCTCTGACTTTTGAGAAAAATCCCTACTTAGTGGCCTTTCAGCACATGCTTGTTAAGGAGGCAATAAATCTTCTTTTCCCATCCAAAATTACCTACAGAAGCCACATGGGGATGGGTGATACCATTTCACATGGCTGGACGGGCGTGGGATGATACCGTTTAATTCCCTCTATTTGGCCCAAATAAATACAGTCGAGTCCACTGAAGTCGAACTTCTATTAGTCGAATTTCGGTTAAGTCAACATGATTAGCTTGGTCCTGGCCAATTTTCTCTATTGTGTGTGCTGTCTGGATAAGTAGAATTCCTGATAAGTGGAAGCGTTTTCTTAGGTCCCTGCGACTTTTACGTATCCAGACTCGACTGTATAACTGTATTGTACACAAATCTCACGAGATGTGAGATCTGGCAAAAATTACAGAAATAATCAACAGTGTCTGGTGGTCAGGAGAGCAGTAGTTGGTAAATGTTTTGATAATCACATTTGCGGAGAACATCACAGTGTTTATGTTCACCGGTTTTTATTTTTGAGATGTTCACAGTTTATTTTTTTTTGCTTTTATGCATTTTACACAAGGTACATTGATTGTGTTTGGATTGCCATGCTTACCGCACGTAGCGTCAGTGTAAGTTTAGTTAGTGCTTCTTGATTTCTTTCTGTTGTCTGTGTTCCATCATTATTCTTCTTCTGTTTCTTCTTCTTCATCTTCCAATCATCCTTCTTCTTCTTTTTCTTGCTGCTTCAGTTACTACTTCTACTACTATGACTAATTCCACACCTGCTGTTACTAGTAATGCAGCTGCTAGTGCTACTGTTACTGCTGCTGTTACTTCATCTTCTTCTTCCTCCTCCTCCTCATCCTCCTCCTCCTCTTCTTCTTCTTCATCCTCATTTTCCTCTTCTTTATCCTTCTCCTCCAGTTACAGCAGCAGGCAGAGAATTCCAATCCCCAAAGTACCAGTAAGAGTCTGATTATATATCTGCCTTGTCCCTCCTCTTGAGTGTTGGGCATCGGTCTCCCCTTGAGTGTTGGGCGTTGGCCTCCCCTTGAGTGTTGGGCGTCGGCCTCCCCTTGAGTGTTGGGCGTCAGGCTCCCCTTGAGTGTTGAGCTTCGGCCTCCCCTTGAGTGTTGAGTGTCAGCTCCCCCTTGAGTGTTGGGCGTCGGCCTCCCCTTGAGTGTTGGGCGTCGGCCTCCCCTTGAGTGTTGAGCTTCGGCCTCCCCTTGAGTGTTGAGCGTCGGCCTCCCCTTGAGTGTTGGGCGTCGGCCTCCCTTTGAGTTTTGGGCGTCGGCCTCCCTTTGAGTGTTTGGCATCGACCTCCCCTTGAGTGTTGGGCGTCGGCCAGATCTTCGGTCACTCCTGGCTGCACCATTCTCTTCAGACCCTGGTGATCTGTCGAAGCTTCCTCACTATTTACCTGCTGCCAAAGGGGTCTTACAAATTCTAGCTTGTCACGTGTCAATTTACCACCATGTCGTGGGAAACTGACCAATGTTTTATTAAATCTTAGAATCACAAAGCTAATTGCCTTCTGAAGTTGAGGTTTAGGTTGGAGGTTTTGAACAACGGATCAACATCATGGCACACAGGTAGTAACCCATAAGTGCTTCGTTCTTTCTTCTAACTCAAGTCTGAGTCCGAAAAAGTTCAGCACACTGCACAGGCACTGTAGCACCGGCGGGGTTCCTGAAATTCTAAACTAAAAATGCAGCATCGTTAGGCTACTCTTTTAAGTTTCCAACTGCCAAGGGATTTTTTACAACAACAATGCACACGGGCGTCCCATCTCACTACCCAGAGACCACGGGGAATTACTAGAAGTATAAGTTCTTGTAGAGAAAATCCCAGCCCTTACCGGGGATTGAACCCAGAACCTCTGGCACTCGAGACCATGCAAAACCCTTTAAAGTTGTGGGTTTTGTGCTAAAGGATATCATGAGCTGTGGTTCTTGAGAAGAATGTTGCGAATACCTTGGACTGCCAGAATAACTGACATTGATTGCCTGGAAGTGGCCAATGAAAGTAGAACGTTATGTACAACAATGAGAAGGAGATAAACAAAGTTCTTTGGTCATGTAATGAGAAAAGGAGCACTGGAAAATATTGTGACAGCTGGAAAGTTCACTGGAAGAAAAAGAGGCAGAGGCTGAACAAGAGAAATAAAAGATGGGTGGCTTAAGACAGTGGCATGGAGGAATTTGAACATCATCAGGGGAATTGATCCAGAATGCCAAAGACCAAGATCTGTGGAGAGACATGAACACCTCTGCCAGCTGGCAAGGCACTTGATGATGATGATACCATGAACCCCGTAAATTTGTTACTTAGACCCTCCAGGGAAGTAGTAACTCCCCTAATGTAACAAACACTACTCTTGCGGTTTCAGTTACTACTTCTACTACTAGGGCTACTACCACCCCTGGTGTTACTAGTGATGCAGCTACTAGCACTACTGTTACTGCTGCTGTTACTACTACTACTACTACTACTGCTGTAATAGTACTAATGCTACTACTACCACTACTATTACTGCTGCCACTTCTACTACTATTACTACTACTGTTACTATGACTACTACTACTGTTACTGTGACTACTACTACTGTTACTATGACTACTACTACTGTTACTACGACTACTACTACTGTTACTATGACTACTACTATTGTTACCATGACTACTACTACTGTTACTATGACTACTACTACTGTTACTATGACTACTACTACTGTTACTATGACTACTACTACTGTTACTATGACTACTACTACTATTCCTATTTATAGCTTATCAATATTCAGAAAAAGAGTTAATACGAAATATTTTCCAGTAGAATGTGTGTGTGTTAATACTGCGTATGTTTAGTTTCATTTCAAACATTTATATTTTGGCTTAACTTTTGTGATAATTTTACAGAACACTGCATTAGGCTGTTTTTGAAGTAGATGATTTTTATCTGTAGTAATTCTTGTTTTATCTGTAGTTTTTGTATTTTTTATCTGTAGTTATTTTTGTATTTTAATGTTTCTCCTTCTTGAATTTATCACTGATATCATTGGGTTATGATAAGCATACTGGTAGCTGTAGAAGCGATGAAAACATTGTTGGAACATTTCTGTCCTTCAGGATGATAGTGTTATAGTTTCTTGTCCGAGAACATCCAGTAGAGGGCAGCAGGGGAAGATCGACGCCGGGAGTCATGACCCAGCTCTGCCCACCTTCTATGGTTGTAAAAGAATGGTAACAGGTCGAAACAGTCATCGACGAGGGATCTTTTTACTGATGATCGGTGGACCCCTGCTGTACATGCTCCCATGTGGAGTTCTTCTTATTTTTGCCATAAAGAGGCGTGAGAATCACAGCCTGTGGTAAGCGTGGCTAGCTCGCCTGGGACAAAATTCCTGCTGTATATATCACAAAGGGCTATCCTCCGAATAACGGTCCTAAATTATCGAGTGGGAAAATATACCCTAACAGGGCCTCAGTCACGTGTCAATTGCGAACTTCCTGCAACTTCCACCACCGCCGAGAGTATCCCGCAAGCCGCTCGCACGGCGTGGATTGGGGCTGAACTAGATGGCTAGGACTCACGAGCAGCAGCTACTGCATCTCCTGCAGCTTCCTTCATTTTATTTGCTCGTGAGTCCTAGCCATCTAGTTTAGCCCCAATCCACGCCGCATGAGCGGCGTGGGGGATACTCTCAACAGTGGTGGAAGTTGCCGGCAGTTCGCAATTTGGTGGTGGCGTTATAGTCCCCGGAAGTGCGCAATTGACATGTGATGAGTCCCTATTAGGGTGTACTTTCTGCCTCGATAATTTAGGACCATTATTCGGAGGATAGCCTCACAAAGATATGGCAGTATTATGGGTACCATGTGTCCCCCATGCAGTATGAAAGGCACAGGTATCTTGCTATCTACACCGTTGATGTCCATATACAGTATTCAAACTAACCCTTTCAAAGTAATTATTTAAACAACTTGTGTCCTCATAGCTCTCGCTATTTAAACAATTTATGTTCGCAAAAGTCTAGCAATATAAACAGTTGATAGAAACACATGCCTAGCTGTATAAACAATTGATAAGATACACGTGTCTAGCTGTATAAACAATTGATAGATACACGTGTCTAGCCTATAAACAAATGATATCTGGATAAGTCAATCTGTGCAAACAGTTGATAGTCACACGCAGAATATTGATGTCATATATCATGTATTTCCTGGCCCACTACACATACATCTAAATGGTTCTGGTCTGTATCAGGTTAGGGAGTTTAAATACCTAGGAAGTATGATCAAAGAAGATGGTAGA